GGGAAGTGGAGACAGGACAATCTCTGAAGTGCACTGGCTACCGGGCCAGGCTCTTTGGTGAGCTCCAGAGAGGCCTCAAAAATCAGTGTACTCTCTCTCCCTCCCTCCCTCTCTTTCCTTGGCTGGCTTGGAACTTTCTATGCAGACCCAGCTGGCTTGGAGCTCACAGAGATCCACCCACATTTGCCTCCTGGGTGCTGGGATTAAAGGTGTGTCCCACCATGCCCAGCCAAGATGGACAGTTTCTGGTGAACCACACCCAGGTTGACCACTGACCTCCACAAACATGAACACACACGTGCACCCCCCCCCCACACGAACATATACACACAACTGCAGATACACACCAAAAGTAAATAAGTAACTAACAAACACTGGGCCGTGAGCACACAATCCTTTGTATGATACTTAGCAGAGTGTCCCTGGCAAGGTCAAGACCCACTGTCCATAGCCCTAGGGACAGCAGTATGGGCCAGGTTAGGTTGGAAGAGGGCAGTCAAAGCCCACTCCCTGAGGGAGGCTGCCCAGGCTACAGGGGCCAGGTCACACCTTGGCAATTCATTTTTCATTTTTTTTTTCAAAAAAAAAAACCTCCCCCCTTTTTTCCGCTGCTAATCATGGCTACCATTGTTATTGCCTGCAAAAATCCTGATAGGGAAAACCAACAGACCGCAAGCATCAGGAGGAACTCAAAGCAGCCTAGAAACCAGGTTGGGAATCTCGTCTCCCTGGCAACCAAGTCCAGCCTGGGGAGAGCAGGTCTCAGGCTCTCCATTTTCTGTGCTCCCGAGGGGCCACCCCTCCCCTCCTCACACATTATTCTTTCTCCCTTCTAGCTTCCTCCTGTACCCTGCCCCCACCCCAGCTCCTGCATAAGCCAGTCCTTACCCACCTGTGTTTCCCCGCGTGGCAGGCAGATTGCCTTCAAATGCAGGGGCTTAAAACAGCAAATTCGTTTCCTCTTGCTGCCTCTGCAGGAATCCAGGTGCTTTGCTGGGGACTCTAAATTGAGATCTCACGACAGGCTGGGGCTTCTGGCCCACCTGCGAGCTTGGACGAGGGGGGTCTACTCCCAAACCCACTCGTGGGGTATTGACAGGCTCCAACCTTGTCACTTATGCTTCTTTACGAGGTGGCTATACCAGGACTGGGGCCATGTAAATGCTGAGAGAACCAAGACAGAAGCCATAGTCTTTGTGATTCATTCTTGAAGGTGCTGTCTTTGTTAAAAAGCAAGTTCATTTAGCTTGGGCCTAGGGAGGGGGTGAGTGAGATCACAGGATGCCTGAGGGTGGTGCCTGGTGGGGGGGCTGGCTTCCCTGCAAGCCCATTTCACCACCTCTCCTTGATACTGATATTTGGGGCCACAGGGACTTCCTACATGTCTGAACAGAAGTCTGCCAGAGGGTTTCATCTTGGGAATGGACTAGCAGTGCTCAGGAAAGACCCCCATGCCATGGAGGACCCTCACAGCCTGTATGGAACTCCAGGATCAACAGACACGCAGAAATACTGTCCTGTCCCCTGCCTCATGAAGGGTAGAATGGGGTAAGAAATGGACGAGCCAAAAGTGGTTAAAGATGGCCAGATCTGGGCGCTGTCCTGCCTTAACCCATCCTTCGACCTCATGGCTTTCTGCAGTGCACAGCCTGAGCCACCCTCTGCTTCTTCCCATCTCTTTGTTTCCCCTCAGGGAAATTTGCCCACTTTCTTAGCTACATCCTTGGGTGTTCTCTACCGCACACACAACAGCCCAGGCTGCCTTCCTGTCAGCCTGGCTAGCCCAGTCTGCCTTCTTCCCCAGCACAGGAGCCCCACAGACAGGAAGCATCATGCTGGCAGAGAGGTCCTGAATGAGGACCAGCTGATGGAAGGCACTGAGGGCAAGGGTATACTTGCTGGGTGCTCCTATATCTTAAATCCCATCCCTGCTGGTTGCTTTTTGTGACCAGGGAAGGCCAGAATGGACTACAGGGGGCCCTGATCGTCATCCATCACCGGTGTCCTACACTGCTCAGGATTCTCCAGAGACTGAATGGGTGTGTGAATATGCAGGGTTATTTTAAAGGAGGGGGTTCATATGATTGCGGGGATTGACAGTTCTAATCCCTGCAGGTGGGTCAACAGGCAGGAGCCCAGAGCAACCATGCCCAAAGCTAGAACTGGCAGGATTCCTACCTGTTCAGGTACCCTGAAGCTTCCCTTCTACTCAGACCTTCAGCTGATTAGAAGTGACCTACCCACACTGTGGAGTACTGTTTACTTAATCAAGATTCTTTTTAAAAATTGTTTTTATTGAGCTATATGTTTTTCTCCCCTCCCCTCCCTTCTGCTACCCTCCCCTTCTACCCATGCTCCCAATTTACTCAGGAAATCTTGTCCTTTTCTACTTCCCATGTAGATTAGATCCATGTATGTCTCTCTTAGGATCCTCTTTGTTGTCTAGGTTCTCTGGGATTGTGAATGGTAGGCTGGTTTTCTTTGCTTTATATCTAAAAAAGTGTCTGAGTACATATGATATTTGTCTTTCTGGGTCTGGGTTACCTCACTTAATATGATGTTTTCTAGAGCTATCCATTTGTCTACAAAATCTCAAGATGTCATTTTTTTCCACTGTGTAGTACTCCATTGTGTAAATGTACCAACTTTTCCTCATCCATTCTTTGGTCGAGGGGCATCTACATTGTTTCCAGGCTCTGGCTATGACAAACAATGCTGCTATGAACATAGCTGAGCACATGTCCCTATGGTATGTACTTAATAAAGATTTAAATGTTAATCTATGCTCTAGAGAGATGGGCCAGTGAGTAAAGGTTCCTGCTGCTAAACCTTAAATTCAAGCTCTAGGACCCACACAATGGAAGGGGAGAACTGACTCCTATATGTTATCTTTTGACCTCTGACATCTGCCCTGCCTATATAGCAATTTTTTCCTAGATAAGCCTCCATCATGGAGGAAAGCTGGTTAAGACACAGGACTCAGAATTTTTTTTTTTTTTTTTTTTTTTTTTGTTTTTCGAGACAGGGTTTCTCTGTAGCTTTGGTGCCTGTCCTGGAACTAGCTCTTGTAGACCAGGCTGGCCTCGAACTCCCAGAGATCTGCCTGCCTCTGCCTCCTGAGTGCTGGGATTATAGGTGTGCGCCACCACCACCTGCCTAGGACTCAGGATGTTGTAAAGGGAGAGGAAACTGTCGATCCTGTAGTGAAGTTCTTTAAATTCAGGAAATAAAAAACAACAAGGCCTCAGGAAGTTCCTGAAACCAACTAGACTCACTAGGGCCCTTACCTAGCAAATGTATATAAGCAGCAAGGGCCACTGGGACTACTCTGAGACCAACCAAACCACCTGAGAGAGACAGAGAGTAGCCGAGCTGCCCGAGAGAGACACTCTCCAACCCGTGGCTCTGCCTGCAGGTCGTGCGGTGTGCCTTGGTTTCTAGCCTTCCTGAACTTATTGCCTATCCTAGGATGGACTTTTGGTGATCCAGCTGTCTTTGAGTCATTTCTGTCCTGCAAGGAGTCCCCATATTCACTAAAATCTGTTGGTTCAGCAAGTTGGACTTTGGTGGTATCTTGCTTGGTCTGCTGTGGTTCCCTATCTGGGGTGACAGATAACTGCTCCTATCTCCCCTGTAATAACGTTACACAACACACCCACAGTCATGGCGCATCCCCCAAATATAAATAAATAAGTACAATGTAATTAAGGTTAACCTGGCTGGGTCAGGTGGCACTCAGCTGGGCCACCTAGTGACTTGAGATTAGCACGGGCTACATAGTGAGACCCTAGGAATAAAGGAAAGAAGGAAAAGGAAACAATTGCTTGTTAAATGTTAATCTCATCCAAAAAATAATCCTCTAAGACACACCCAGAATAATGTTTGACTTATCATCTGAGTACCATGGGCTAGCAAGATATCACATAAAATTAGTTATATACTCTCCAACAGGAATTTTCTCACTTACAGTCCTCAGGGCACAGTCCATGCCTATACTGTGGACCCCAAACCATGAAGGTTCTGATATCTCGCCTCCCATGTCATCTCCCTGTTGATTCCCAGGCTCTCAGTCTTTCCACCCCACCCTCATCTTGCCTTCCTTCCAGCCCTGCATCCATAGCGTCTTTCCACTTCCAGCCTTTGCACGTGCCACCTGCCCCACGTGTGGTCCCTTCATTGAGAGCTGCCCGTGGTTGCCCTGGAAACCTTCCTCTGCATCCTGAGCATCCAAAGGAGTCTAAAGTTCATCGCTCACTTAGCTGCTTTTAACAATGCAGGGTCTTGGATCCCCCACCCCAGAGCAGCCTCCTGTCTGACACATACTGCTGCCCAGGGCTCCAGCTGTCTAGAAGCCACATGGCCGATGTCTTTGTTTGTATAAGATGACTTAGATTTCTCTTCTTGTAAGCCAGTTCTCTGTTCACTCTTGTATCTGGGCCTCCTTTTACCACCATGCTCCTTCTTGAAGTATCTTTTTACACGATTATTTAGTGAAGGGTGGTTAGTGGTAAAACTCTCTGAATTTTATCTGACAAATGTTTATTTAAACTATAAGATAGCCTTACAGTTGTGGTGGGGGATGCTTATAATCCCAGCTTTTGGAAAAGACAGAGGTATGGGGGATCAGGAGGTCAGGGCCAGTCTGGGCTATATAGCAAGTTCAAAGCCAGACTGAATTACATGAGAGCCTATCTTTAAAAAATAACACCCCCAAATCTCCTACAACAAACACAAAATAATCAACCAAAAACTTCAAGTCAGGGTACCAGCTTTCTTTTTGTTCTGACGGAAACACCTCTATAATCGATTAAAGGAGGGAGGATACACTATGGCTCCCTGTCTCAGAGGTGTCTGTCTATGTCCTTGGCACCAGGCTTTGGGCAGGACATCACTGCAAGAACATTTGATAGAGGGAGGGGGAGGGAAATGGGAGGCTGGGAGGAGGCGGAAACTTTTTTTTCTTATTCTCAATAAAAAAAAAAAAAAAAAGAACATTTGATAGAGAGGCTGTTCTAACTTCTTGGCCTACAGGAAGCCAAGAGACAGAAAGGGCCAGGGGCAGCTCCCCAGGACCTGCCACCAGTCCTCATTGCTCCATCCCCATTCCCTAAAGTTTTCAGGAAAATCCCCTATAGTGCTATCTGCTGGAGACAGGCACTTGGGGGGGGGTAACCTTTATCACCAAACGTAACAGTGTAGTGGTACCCACCTGGCACCTCGAAACTCCAGAGGCAGAGGTGGAAGGATAGTGGGTTAGAGGTCAGCTTGAGGTACCCAGCATGATCATGAAACAAGAAAGCAAAACCAAGGGAAGTGTTACATTTGATTAATAGTAGTATTTTAGAGGTACCAGGGAACCTTTAGATACACAATATATTGTAGAATAGTTAAAGGAAGCCAATCAACTTTTCATCCTCTCAAGTTTTCAGTGAAGACATTTAAAACGTTTTATCTTACTAATTAAAAAAATACATTGTATTAACTATTTCCCTGGGCTGTGTAACAGATCTTAATGACTTTCCCTCCTGTCTAAGGGACACTGTGTCTCCTGGTGCCTAGCACCTGGTCTTCGCCATTCTATCTCTGCTTCTCAAATGAGATCCTGCACACATTTCCCTCCTCAGCATCCTGCCAACACTTGTGGTACCCATCTTTCTTGTAATCATCATCCTAATTGATGTCAGGTCACATCTCATTATGGCCTGATAAGCGTTTCCCTGGTAACCAGTGATGTTCAGTATTTTTCTGCAAACCTGGAAACTGCCTGGATGCCTTCTTTTGAGCAGTGCCTACTTAGAGTCTTTGTCTATTTTCAGTCAGGCTCTTTGATTTCTTGCTACTAAACTGTTCTTTAAACTTTTGGTTAGATGAAAAAATTTGTTTTGCACTTAATTTTGGAAAACGGTGCACAAAAGCCTGAGTTAGGAAGGTTTTTTTTTTTTGCCTTCTTTTTACTCTAAAGATACTATTTCATTCTCTTTGGTTTTAATAGTCTTTCCACAAGATTCATTAGAATTATTGCCTTCATTTTTTAGATTTTCCTGTCTTGGGTGGTCTGCAATTTCACTATGCTCTGCTTAGATAACCTGCCATTTGTTATTTTACTTATTATACATTAGAATCTTTACCCACACTTACCTTCACCGGTTCTGACTTATTTTAAAATAGAATGTCTCCAAAAACCAACTTTGAGATTTCAATTAGACTTTCCTTGGCTCTCTGCACACAATTTTTGGTAGTTCTTTATGTGTCTCAACTTGTGTTGCATTCCTGATTACGCCTGGGCAGGAGTTCTACCACTGAACTATAACCCTGGCCTTTCTTGATGATTTCTTTAGATTTGTCTTCCAGTTCATAAATTCCCTCTTCATCTGTGTCTACTTTGCTGGCCAACTCTGCTGAGTTTTTTTTTTTTCTAAGAACAACTTTGTTAAAATATAACACATTACATAACAGACAATGTATTCTTTATTGGATACATTTCGGTGACTTGTAGTGTATTAACAAAGTTGCGTATCCATCACCATGATCTAATTGTGGGGCATTTCATTACTACAAAATGAAATTTTAATCACCTCACTTATTAATAGTGTCCCAAACCAGTCATTCTCGCTCCCTCCCTCCCCCATATTTGGCTAATCTTTTTGTCTTTGTTGGATTTTTAAATTTTGTGCATTTCACGTAAATAAAATGTTTTTTGTTTTTGATTTTTTTTGTTTTTGTTGTTTGTTTGCCTGGTTTGTTGTTGCTGTTCCTTCTTTCTTGGTGACTGGCTTCTTTTACTGATAATACTTCCAAGGTTTCCGTTGATCTTTAATCATTTAAGTGAAGTCTCCAGGTTTTCTTTCTTTCAGATAAACTTGCTGTTCAGCTTGTGGCTACAGGGTCCTTCCTTAGCATGTCTTTCTCTCTCTCTTTTTCTAAAAATTGATTTTATTGAGCTATACATTTTTCTGTGCTCCCCTCCCTTCCTCTCCCATTGTCCCCTTCAGCCCTCTCCCATGGTCCCCATGATCCCAATTTACTCAGGAGATCTTGTCTTTTTCTACTTCCCATGTAGATTAGATCCATGTATGTTTCTCCTAGGGTCCTCATTGTTGTCTAGGTTCTCTGGTATCTTTAGCACGTCTTAATAAGCACATTATCTTTGTAGTCTAAGATCTCTGTGTAACTCTTTGGTTTGATCTCCGTGTAACTCTGGTTTACTAGCATTGGAGGTAAATTTAGACAGGCCATCAGCTTTTCCAAGTGGTGGTCTTGATGAACTGGGTTCACGGACCATTCACTGGCCGGCCCGCAGCCCGCTCTCTGCATTTCCACAGAAAACACTTACCTAGAAGCCTCCCCAGCCCCTTCTACTCTGCAAGAATCCATACTAAGGCTCATCCTCCGATCTGCACAGGTTCTGCCCCGCAGATTGGCTCTGGACTCCATTATGGGATTGACTCGTTTGAAGAGAATTGTGCACGAACTAATTCTTACCCTCTGCACTCTCTTCATCTAGATCTTTTCTTCAAAATGTCCAGTCCCTCTCTTTGTCAGCACTCCGAACTACTCAAGTGCTCGGGATGTTTGGTCTCATTATCGGCGTGTCACCTAGGGACTGGTGCGGCACTGGACAGGAGGCTCTATGACTGTGTGTTCCCCTTACCTGTAACTTAACACCCAGACGGCAAGGCGATGTGCAGTACATTGAAGTAATGCATATGCGGTTTAGAATAAGGAGCACAGACACTGTGCGCTCAAACTGACAGTCCAGGCTGCCACGTCTGGTAAGGATCTGATATAGTGACAGTCATTTGTCTGGTGTAAGGTTCGTGGGCAGAGCAGGCAGAAACCAAGGTCCGCCTAGGGATGAGAAGGAGCAATGGTAACTGTGGCTTCTGCAGAGCCCAGGAGAGATAGAAGGACCAGGTGGAGTGCGAGGTGTGAATCTGGCCAACCCAGACCAGGATTGTCACCTTCTGGGTGTGGGTGTGGTTGGTGACAAAAGTCCCTGGGGCTGAGTTGATGGTGGGCGTCGTGGGTGCTCTTAGGAATGGAATTGACGGGAACAATCGGAAGCAAGGTGGAGGTTGGAGAGGGAGGAGCCCCAAGGCTGGGCGTCGGAACCCCATGACCGACCACTCTTTCCCTCCTTCGCTGCGTCTTTGTGCATTTCGCTTCCTTTAGCAGCCAATGCTCTTCCGAGAATCTGCAAGGGGACCACAACCAAGCAGAGGGGGAGGATCCTCCCACGCAGGGTAGGGAGGTGGATAGGGGTGGGGGGGGGCAGCTGCTGCAGGAGTGGGAGGCCTAAGGGGGCGTTGCACGCGGGCGAAAGGCGCAAAGGCCGAGTAGGGCGACCTGCTGCTTGGTCTCCAGCCCCGGGCACCCCCGCCCCGCTAGTCTCCCCACCGCGCGCGCAGCCCCCGCCCCGGCTCCGCCCCGCCCCTCGCGCGGGGTCCGCGTCTGCGGCTGCGTTCCCCGTAAGACGAAGCTGCGCCCCGGTTCCGGTCCGCAGGGAGACCGAAGGGCATCGCTTCCCGCGCCAGAACCGCTGCTGATCCCGGAGTGCTGACACCCCAGGGATGTGAGTGAGCCCCCGACCCTGAGGCCCGTACTCCACGCCCCTCTTCGCGGTGAGCGCCTAGGCGCGCGCGCAGGGACCAGGGGAGGGGTCTCGGCGCGGGGTTCCCGGCCCCCCAGCCCAGGGGTGGGGACGAGGACGGGGACGCGGCGCGCACCCCTCCCCCGCCGGCAGGTAAGGTGCGCTTCCTCCTCCCGCCTTCCCTGTCCAGACGCACCTACAGCTCCCTGGGGAGAGAAGACACCCTCCTCACGCAGGTGCAGGGCGAAGGTTGTGGGGACCTCTGGGCGGCCACCTCACTAGAGAGGGCAAATTTCTTTTCCCTGGCGGGGATACGGTGATGGTGGATGCTCTGGGTGATGGGTTGGGGGTGGGGCATCTCAGGCTCCTGTAAGGAACCCCCCCCCCCACTTCCCCGTGATTCCTGGGGAATGGTCGTTTCCTGGGTCCGAAAACGAAAGGGTCCTTGGTGTTGGATCCTCTGATTGAGGCTATTCCCCTCCAGGCCTGCCCCCCAGAGGACTCCTGTCTGCAGCCCCCGCTTCTCTCTCAGGCTCTCTCAGAGCATGCTGCCTGCGGCCATGAAGAGCCTCGGCCTGGCACTGCTGGCCTTGCTGCTGTGCCCCTCACCGGGTGAGTCGGGGGCCCGCGGGGAGGGGTCCCATATGAGTGGACCAGCACTCATATCTCAGCTCCAGCTACCTGGGCTCTCCCCCACCCGAAGGCATCCAGCGCCTTTCCACCGGGCTTCTGGTACTGCGAAGAGGTCCCTCGTTCTCAGAGGTCCAACGGGCTTCCTATTAAGTCGGGTGGGCCTTTCTGGTCTTGGAAACCTCCCATCTTTGAGGGTACTGTGTGGAGAAGCAAGAGGATGGGGGAGGCAGGATGTGCAGATACAGCCACAGGGTCAGCCTGGAGGCCCTTTGGTCGGGTCTTGTGGGAGTGGAACTCGTCTATGGGGCACAGGTTGGGGAAAAGGGGTGCAGGGTCTGGCTGTCCAGGCCTGGGTTCCTCTGGTCATCGTCCTCCCCATGCCCTGCCTAGCCCATGGCCTGTGGTGCCAGGACTGCACCCTGGCCAATTCCAGCCACTGCGCCCCGAAGCAGTGCCAGCCGACCGATACTGTTTGTGCCAGCGTGCGGATTACCGACCCCAGCAGCAGTAAGACTGGACCTGGTGAGGACACAGGGGCTACCGAAAGGCAGATGTGGGGAGAGGTCAGAGGTGTCTTCTGAATTCCTCTTGCCTGGGACAATAGCATGAGTTTGAGGCAAGACGATACTGGCTTGCTCCTCCGGGCTCCAAGTCCGAAACTGATCTTTAGGACCCGGGTCCTGGGGGGAGGGACAGCACTCAGATGGCGATGGTCCTCAGCATCATGCCTTCTCTCCCCCCCCCCCCTCCAGGCAGGAAGGATCATTCTGTGAACAAGATGTGCGCGTCCTCCTGCGACTTCGTTAAGCGGCACTTTTTCTCAGACTATCTGATGGGGTTCATTAACTCTGGGATCTTAAAAGTCGACGTGGACTGCTGCGAGAAAGATCTTTGCAACGGGGCGTCAGCAGTGGGGCGCAGCCCCTGGGCCCTGGCTGGGGGGCTCCTGCTCAGCCTGGGGCCTGCTCTCCTCTGGGCTCAGCCCTGAGGTCCCTCCCTCCCTCCTTCAGGGCCTTGGAGCTTGTCCCCTGAGCCTGTTGCTGCCCCGTCCCCCAGCCTGGCCTGGCTAGGATTGGGACAGCAAGAGCTTGGCAACAAGGTCTGTGGCTCTCAACCTCCCTAGATGTGAGCCTTCTCCGTTTCCCCACCAGTTCCATATCCCAGGCAGCTGGACATCTCCCGGAGACCAGACATCCTGGCAGAAAGCTGGGGCGGGGGGAGGGGGAGGGCAGGGGACAGGGACCCTCCAGGTCCCCAAGGGGAGGGAAACCAAGCCAGGGACAGCCCAACAGCCTGGCCTGAGGGGCATTAACTACAAAGAAATAAAGTCACTTCTGAGTCTTGTGCCTGGATCTGAGCCTGGGTGTTGGGGGTAGGGGAGGGTCTTGGTAGGGAGCAAGGGGCACCTGACAGGTGGGGGTGTGGTCAGGGGTTTGGAGTGGTGTATGTATATGCTGGGACACCTGGAGATGCCCTGGTAGTGCTGCTTGGGGCTGGGAGCTCGGGAGGGGACACTTAAGGAAGGTGGGGTGGGAGCTAAGATGGACAGAATCACACTGTGGGGCTGCGGAGGAGGTGTGAGAATTTTGCAAACTCACCACGGGTGTAAGGTGCTTCTAGATGCCTTCCACAGTGCACATGGGCAGCCTGTGTATGTGCCTTCTGCTGGTGCCAAGAGACCGCAGTCAGTGCCTACTCTGCTTACAGTCACACGGTCACACCTACAGGTGCCTGCACACACAGGTGCTGAAATACCCTCCCCAGCGTCCCCATCAGCTCATGTGGTGTGCCCAGATACACATTCACACCCTGCCTGGGATGCACATTTGCCCGACTGAAGACCTGTGTGCCTGTGCAGCTCTCTTTTGCTTCTCCCTGCCCTGAATCCCCAGGGGCTTGGATTTGGGTGGCTGAAAACCTTGGGGTGGTTGAAGGCCCTGGGGTTGCTTACAGTGGAAGTGGAACCCTCACTTCCTGGGCTCTGCCCTTTTGCTGGATATCTGCACCTGCTGCCCAGCTCTGAGCTGTCGTCCGCATGGATGGAGTTCTGAGCCCTGAAGATGCTGATCCCCATGCAAGGTGGCAAAGGTGGGCAGGATGGGGAAGACTTGTTCAGGTAGATGAGCTGTCCTGGCCCGTCCACCCCAGCTGCTGGTCTTCAGTTTCCTCCCTGAGTCCAGCCCTGCCTTCTGCTCCTTACCCAGATGTTCCACAGATGGTTTGTATGGACAGGCTCACCCTGTGACATTTAGTGGACACCCCAGGCATTCCCGGGGGCCTGAATTTTGGCCAGTGCTTCCCCCCATACAACCTGTAGCTGACCTAAACCCATGGCCACTGCTGGGCCCTGGCTCTGCCCAGAAAGGGAACTAGTTCCTGTAGGATCTAGCCTTGACATTGCTCCTGGGTACCAGGAGGAGGGTTTAGGTGGGGGACTGGGAGGGCGGAGCTTCCTGTCATCATTGATTGCTGTTGTCTGAACACAGACGGAAGACAGGTTAGTCCCTTTTGCATTTAAACCTGGCAGCAATGGGCCCTTCTGCTTGTTACCTCCTTCTAAAGTGCTGCCTCTGCTGGTGCCTGGTGCCTGGGGAGCCCAGAACACAGCTGGTGGCGGGAAAGGGTGTATATGGAAGTGTAGCAGGAAGGCTGTAAGTGCTGGGTGCCTGGGAGAAGTCCTTGAAGCCTCTGGAAGACCAAGCTGCCGGCTGGAGACGAGCTTGGAGCCCACGTTCGTTCAGGCAAACTTGTATGTGCCAAATGCATTGTCTGAATGGCCCTTAAGAACAAGGAGGAGGAGGATTTTGGCCTCGTTGAATAAATACATGAGATTAGAAGGGAAATTCTCTTGTACCTCCGAGGGGCTCCTGAGGGAAGGGTAGCAGGCACAGAGGGTCGGGCCCCTCCAGCAACCTCTGAGCTGACAATGTCCTTATCTAAAGGAGAGTTCCAGTGGTTAGCTTTGGTGTGGTATTGGGGAGCCTTCCACAGTGGTGATAGGTACAGGCTCTCAGGACAGGGCTGAGTGCTCCCTGCGTCCCTGGTCTTTACTTGTTTTAAAAATCACATTTAGTTTTGTTGTATTGTGAATCTGTGTGTGGCGCACACGTGAAGGGTAGAAGACAACGTGGGGGAGTCGGTTCTCTCTCTTTCTATCATGTGGGTTCTGGGGATGAAACTCAGCATCAGGCTTGGTTGCACATGCCTTCATGGGCTGAGCTGTCTCATTCCCCTCCTGGCCCATTTTGCCAAGCAGCTCCTTAGCGAAGCCCTCCTAGGGAGTTACCAAGTGACCTGTGGTTTCCAAGCTCCGACATGTCCTGGGAATGGACAGCAGGACTCGATTTAGCCACCCCTAAGGGAGAGGCCCCTCCCCCCAGATTTCTGTCACTGGCATTGGAGGGTCTGTCCTTGTCTCCTGTGCAGTGGTCCCAGCCTGTGGGTCATCACGCCTTTGGGGTCAAATGACCTTTTCACGGGGGTTGCATATCAGATATCCATACTAGATATTTACATTACGATTTATAACAGTAGCAAAATTAGAGTCACGAAGTAGCAATGAAATAGTTTTACAGTTGGGGGTCACCACTCCGTGAGGAACTGTATTAAAAGGTCACAGTATTAGGAAGATTGAGAACCACTGTGCTATGGTCTGAGGTGATCAGACGTGAAAGGGTGATTCTGAGGAAGGGGGAGGTGGGCATAGAGGAAATCTTAGGCAGAATAGATCCTCTAACAAGGCAATGACTCTCTCCTGCCAAGCTCATGTGTCCTTTCTGGCTGTGTATTGTCAGGGGTTTCTGTTCATCCAGTGGATACAGGATAGAGGGTTTCTGGCATCCCATCTGACATCATGTGGGCAACAGCTGAATGTCCTCGAGGTTCAATAGCCACAGTGTCCCTTGAGGAGCTCCTGGCGCCTTCCTTCTGACCTCCCATGCCGGCCTTGGTCTCTTCCTGGCATACACATCTCTTTGTGGGGCTGGCAGTTTGATGGGTACTTCCTTCTGTCTTGTTCTATGGTACTCTGTGTGCGCTCTGAGGCTGGAAACACTAAGGCCTATCTAATTCTCATACAGTCTGGGGCTTCCTGCCCCAGAACCATCTCTGTCTTCTTGTGAACCCACACCATGTGTTTCTTGGATGTTGACAGGTTTGGTAGCTACAGTGGCATCCATCCACCTGAGCTACATTGTGACAGGAGGGAGCTATTCCGAGTGGCTACTGTCTTTCAGTGTCGTGTAACCAAGCAACCAAATTTCGACGCGGATTTAAAACATGACCTTTACAACATGGTGCATTCCAGGCTGGACAGGATGCTCAAGATTCGCTACCCTGTGGGTTTTGCCGCACAGGTCTTTGCTGTGCCTTCTCGATTTGGAGAAGCCTTTCAATGTCTCTGAGGCAAGTGACACACACTCATGACTCCTCTGGGAACATTGCCACTTCTCCCCTTGATTCAGATATCGGTGAAGTCTCCCAGAGTCTCCTCTGTTAGAATCCATTTAGAGTTCGCTCTCTGGGGTCTGAAACTGGGCTGCAGGCACGGCCCTTCTCACTCAGATACTTCAGGGACTCTGGAATGACATCACTCTGTAGGCTCCTGTAGCTTCCTTCACACTGGCTGCTTATCTCCCTATGTGTGTATCACTGGGCAATCCATAGTATAATGGGGCGTACCCTTGCTTCTAAATCTAATTATTCATATTTGTTTGGGAAGCTGATACTTTTGGCTTTCTGGGTGATATTCTGTTTGTCAGTGGCCCACTCCGTATGAGCAAGCAAATGAGAACCACCGACAGGCCCTTGTGCTTCCAGAAGCTGACACCCTGTTTGCCTTTCTGAGAGGTGAATGGCCACCCCTAGGAGGAGGCGCTCAGGCACTTCAGAAGGGAGCATGTCGTCAAGTGGAGGGGGTATCCATTCAGCTAGGACATTCCTGTCATGAATGTACCCCCAAGGTCCCGGATCTGAGGGCCGTGATGGTGAGCCACAGGCATCCCCAGAAGGGACAGTTTGGGGGAGTCAACACATGCAAGGAAGAAGATCCTCTTGGCTGATGACCACTAGGCCGACATGAGTTTCACAGATACCTAGTGACAGGCGTGATATCTGCTTTCCCCGCCCTTCCTTGGCACCACCTGGGAAGACAACAGGAATGGCTGCACTGAATAAGACAAGCATAGGCCTCCTTGATGAGAAGCTAGGTCTAGAAAGGAAGCAGTGGGAATACTACTCCATGCTCTTAGCTAGCTGAGTGGTCCCTGAACACACATTGCCCACTGTAGTGCAGACCCCAGAGTCTACCTGATAGCTCAGGCACAGAGTTTCATAGGACTTTGCTATGTCGAAGGTGGAGTCCAGCAGAGACACATGCTGCACCAGCTACATGGCCCCACCCCTGGGGTGGTGGCTCCAAGTCACATCTCCCTAAGCCATCCCCACTCACAGCCTCTGAGCAGCAAACTGCCTTTGGGCCTTGGGGCTGGGAGGTATAATTTCTAAATCCTGGTGTGTGTGTGGGGGGAGGTGGGGTCCAGATATGCAGAAGGGGCTGCACATTGAGACATATGCAGACCACACCGCAACTAGAGGGGAGGGAAGGAAACTCCCTGCTTCTAAAGTCACCATTGTCCTCATCAAGGCCTAAAACCACAATGGTTTGCGAGTGAAGACATCCAGCCTGGATTCCAGCTTTTGTTTTCTGGTCAGTTTCTATGTTCATGGCCCAGACTCTGCAATGTGGCTAAATGGTGTCAGCAGCCCTTAAGGTTTGTTTTGTTGTTTTTTGTTTGTTTGTTTTGTTTTGCTTTTGTTTTTTTTCCCAGAAGGCCTTTCCACTAGCTAAGGACTACGCTCCCAGGCTGTTACTCACCTTAGACTGTTTATCCATATTTCAATTCGATTTTTAAAGTCAAGAACGGCTGATGAATTTCAAAGAAAAGCTTTTTGCCATCTGTTGGCACAACCACACGTGTCCCTGGCTTAGTAAGCAGATAATTCGCTGAGTCCCATTGCCAGGTTTCCCGATGGCAAGTCACGCAGGCCCTCGTGCTGCGTTTTAAACAGGCAGTGTTCAGTCAGGATGTTTGTGTCATAGATTTGCCCTTGGTTCACTGACATCTTCATCAGAGGGGAGTTTAGCACTGTGACCTCTGTGCAGGGCCACAGGTGTCCTCTGCCTCCCACGCTCTGGAGCAGTTTGGCTGCTTGGGAATCAATGGAGTCCTCCAGCCTCGTGGGCAGCTGTCTGTCAGCCTCCGTGGGTATCCCCGTGCCCTCCCTGCTCTCTGTGTCCCTGGGGGCATA